AAGGTGCATCCTGTGACTTTTCTGGTCACTCTTTGTCTCCATGGAGATGGTATTGTTTTCCCTGGAATGTTCCACATAGTGATGCCACCAAGCCACAGCAGATCTGTGGAGAGGTGAGCCTGCTTGTTTTAAATGCAAGCCTGATCACATAAATGCTCTATTCTGGAACATAGACTGTTCATATAAATGGACATAGCAAATGTGTTAGCAGCTGTGCCCCAAACAGGAAGTACTTATACGGCTCTTCTGGCTCCTTCTGACTCTGGCTCCCATTGACTTACATTGGAATATTGTGGCTCCTCTCTCTGTAACTGCTGTGAGACTCCTCATTTATTTTTGTCTTAAAATGTTTGTATTAACCCGCTTCATATGATCCTGGTGTTTTTGTTTTGTTTTGTTTTTCCTATTCATAATTTAAAACCTGGCTCCAGATTGGCTCCTTTAACTGTGAGCATCATGAGCTTCTTCTGAGTTGGGCTGAACGCTGTGGGTGACGTCACACTCACTATGTCCACCTTTTTTATACTGTGGAACATTACAGGAAAAGCAATAACATCGATGCCGCCCTCACCACCAGAAAAATGACACTGTGTATCTTTAAATTCATTATGAAACCATTATAAGCTATTAATTGCACATGAATCATGATGGAGCTGTAAGAAAATGGTCGCCCACCTGTTCTCAGACAGAGCAGTCTAGAGACAGCAGCGCTCCCTGAGCTCTCCTCCTCCTCCTCTTCCTTCTTCATCTCTCTTCCTCCTCCTCCTCTTCACATTGAGACATGGTTAAAAGGCTGGAAAGCCACAGTGCCCCCTCCCCCCTGCCCCCTTTATTCTCCCATCAGTGAGCGCCGACAAGTGCCCGAGCGTGTTACTCTAGCCTCCAATCAGAGACAGGCCTTTCCTCTCTGAGCTTATCAACGTAATGTGAGAGTTTTCAAAGCAGAAGTGAATGATTAGGATTTGAAATTCCCCACACATGGTCTGTTTGTCTCTCTCTGATCTGAATGGTCACTCCCTAAACCCAGCGCCTGCACCAGTCACGAGTCAGTGCTAGTGCAGCCTCTGCAGCTCAGGGAGGGAGTTCTAGAGGATTTGAGCTTGTCCATAAATCTCTAAAACCGGGATGTGTCCTCTGTTATAATCACATCTGAACCTGGGCTGCCAGTACTTTGACCTGCAGATAACCTTTTAAAAGAGCACAGGCCACATGCGTGAGCTGACACGTAATGAACTTTTTTCTTTTTTTTTTTACCAAACCATTTGTCACATTGACTTCAGTATTAACAAAGATTGATTTGATACATTGATTTCTCGAGTCTGTTTAAAAACACAAATCTGATGCGCTGAGGACAAACTGGACTGACACATAGAATATCAATACTGTCTTCCAATGACCTCTTGTATAAAGCCGTCATTTTATATTTCATTTATTTTTATATTTTATTTTGACTTGTACATTTACATTTATATAATATAAAATAATCTTTTTTTACACCTGTCAAATTATTATTACCCCTTACATTTTTACCTCCGCCAAGGAGGTTATGTTTTTGCCGGCGTTTGTCTGTTTGTTTGTTTGTGTGTTTTTGTTTGTTTGTCTGTTAGCAACATAACTCAAAAAGTTATGGACCGATTTTGATGAAATTTTCAGGATTTGTTGGAAATGTGAAAAGGAAGAACTGATTCATTTTGGGGATGATCCGGAAGAAATCCTGGATTCTGGATCACTTTGAAGTTTTAGTTAACATTGTGGTAAATGGGGCCAAAAAATTTGTTTCTCAATATCTGGGTTAATTATTGACCAAACCCCATGAAATTTGACTCAGGGATGGACAATGGGATCCTCTTTCATATTCCAAAGGCTGATCCGGATCTGATCCAGAAGACAGATTTTATCGCAATTTATATAAAAAATGGGGGTAGTCCTTGGCGGAGGTCTGCGCTCTCTGACTGCTTTTCTAGTTTTATATTGTGAAGTGTGGCTCCTGTGTCCAAATAATTTCCCTTGTGGATCAATAAAGTTTGTCTAAGTCTAAGTCTATTGACTGATACAGATACCAGGACTCAAAATCAGCTGATACTGATACTGGAATCAATGAATCACACATTCCTAATAAAACTGGTCAGAGACAAGAGGAATACTGATCTGTTACACAATGTGAATGAAAGAAAATGAAAGATGTGACTATAGTTTGGTCAGTTATTGTGAGTAAAGGGAAGGTAGTTGTTGAATTGTTGATTTGGGCTCTGAATAGTTTCTTAAACGTAACACAAACACTGATGTCGTCTCTGCCCTCTCGGTACATTCTCTAGTCGTAAACAGATGACACAGTTTGTTCTGTTCACATCTTGAGCCTGATTATAGTCTTGTTATGTGGTACAGGCCAGCCGTGCTTTCATCATCCACCCGCTCCTCACGCTCGGCGGAGGTAAGCTATTTCTGTAGCCACAGCTGCCCCAGGGATGTGACTCCCAATCAGCACCTTAGGGCGACGCGTTCTGAGCCAATCACTCCCGCGCCACATTCACACAGCCAAGTCAGGTCAGGTTTCTATGCTCTGTGAGGACGATACATTGACTTAGATTCATTTAGTGCAGGCCGGTCCTAATCTGAACCAGAGTCACTACTCATCTGACCTCAACCTGTCAACTCTAAACCTAATCTAGTGCTGTGGTACTGTACTAACTAAAGATGTAACGATATCCAAATCTCTCTGTACAATATTATCACAATATGCATCTCACAGTACGATATTGATTGTGGTATTTTGAAAAGGCTGATATAATTGTAGATAGGATACTTATTTGCTTTTGAAATACCTTGACAAGATTTTGGTGTGAATTATTTCTGTCATAATCCCAAAAATTCAAGTAAAATCATATTTCTTCAAGTTGTCTACACTGAAATGAATCATGGGATATGTAGTTTCTGATGTTCATAAGCTGACGCTACTATAAAACCATGAATTTAAGCAAAGAAACTTGTATTTCAATATATTTTGACAGTCCACAATGTTATTGTGAGACTTTTGACGATACGATATTATGGTATTTCGGTTATTGTTGCATCCCTAGTACTAGTACCCTAGTAGAACGTTCAAACTCAATTTCAATACTAAGGAATAGATTCATTACTCAGTACTGATTCCAGTACCACAATGTTAATAAAAAAAACAAACACACACACTTTCTTTAGACAATAGAATGTGTTTTCAACATTAAGTGGTAGTACTTTCTTTTCTATCCCCATATGTCTTATATGTGTAATCCTCAGTGGTGCAGTAGGTTCATAGTGTCCATGTGTGTATACTGGTCTATGTGCTCTTATATTTGTTCTGATACAGAACAACTCAACATACTCAAGATCGTTTCCCAAAGACTGGGTCGCGACCCCCAGTTGGGTTGCAACAGATTTTTTTTTTTTTTTTTTTTTGGGGGGGGGGGTCACCTTGTCACGATCTAGATGTAGGTTGAAATGTTGAGACATGTTTTGTATCATTTCAAATCTTTTTAGCAACTATTCTATTGACTATTTTGTTCCAGTATTCCTGGTTCAATTGAATGCTGAAAAGAAAAAGAAATGTTCTACATTTAATGTCCAAATAGGCGACTTCTAGATCCTTTTATTGCTGCTTCAATGGCTGTTTTTCATTGTTTAAAACTAACTGTTCAGAGAAACACGATTACTCAGTCAACAATAAAATATCCTCATTAATGTTCAGTAATGATCAAATCCACCTTTATTTTGCCATTTACGAATAATGTTTATGGACTTGGGTTTGTGACTTTTAAGATATGGGTCCCCAGAAAACAAGTTTGGAAACACAGCTCATGATCATTCTTAGCTATTCAGGAAAGCTCCATTTCTGTGTGACACTATTAGTATCAATATCTGCGTAAATAAGTATCTAGTTTCAATACTTCTGTAGTTTTAGTTAGTATCTGATGTTCGATTCTTTTCTCCATTAATGGAGGAGGCCATATTAAAGCCCCTGCAGACTGCTCCTGTAGCTGCTGATCACTCTGTCCTCACATGTCTGTCTCTCTGAAGCTGCTCTGATGAAGCAGAGCCACATCCATTTGTCGAGACGCAGACCTGAGTGCCCGTCAGCCTGCGCCGGATCATCTTCCACTAACACTGTGCGCTCGATAGCAAAGATGCCACAGATAGATGGGGAGGAGAGTTAACCTGTCTGCCCCCTCCCCCTCCTCTGCCTCATAATGATGAAGTATAGGCTCATTACAGCCTCTGCGGCCTCCTCGGATTAGCATATTTCAGCTTCTAATGAAATCAGGGCTAATGGAAGCGCAGAGGGAAGTGCATTTGTTTTAAGGCAAAGTCTCAGTTTAGTTCAAATCTGCTACATACAGATGGATGTAAATACTGTAGACATTCTAGTGTCTTCTGTGGAGGAGACATTCTAGTGTCTTCTGTGGAGGAGACATTCTAGTGTCTTCTGTGGAGGAGACATTCTAGTGTCTTCTGTGGAGGAGACATTCTAGTGTCTTCTGTGGAGCAGAGCAGCATGGTTTATCAGCTGGAATCAGTGATCATTGGGATTCTTCTGATTACTGCTGATTATTTTAGTAGTCGAGTAGTGTGCGATTAGTTTTTTCAATTAGAGAAACGATCATTTAAAGTGCCCATATTACACTATTCTCTGGTCTATGTTATATTGTTTTTGAAAACACTGGGGTGAGGTCCATTATGTGAGAACCAATCACAGCAGAGCCCAGTGCTGTCCCATCAGCCATTTGGCTTCTGCTGCTTCTGTTTCTGCACTGCTCAAGTGATCAAACAGACGACTAACAAGCACTTACAGATTTTCTTATTCAATAACGTCCCCTCTCGCTTCTTCCACTCTGTATCAGCCGCACATGTATGGATATTGTCCCTGCAGGGCCTCCGTAGGCCTGGCAGTGTAGTGGTGTGAGTGTTAAACTGCTTTTCCTCATAATACTCCCATTCTAAACTTGTTTGTTGTTCTCTTGTTGCAGACGGAGATTGCCAAACGCCTCAATGCAATCCTCGCACAGATCATGCCGTTCTTGTCTCAAGAGGTAAGGCCCGGCTCCAACATGGCCGCCGTTTAAAATGAGACTAATCTGATTAGCATGGAGTACAGTACAGCTAAGTGACTTATGGAGTGCACTATAATCAATCCTGTGAAGGCTTTAGCCCAGTCCAGCATCGTAACCCAGTTAGAGCAGCATTCTGGATCAGACTATTGATTCATTTGGAATCATTTCCAGCACATGTAACATGTAAGAGTGATTCTACTGAGGCCGCTATGGTAACAGTCTCATGATGACTTCCTTCTCCTGATAAAGCTCTATATCATAAGGATAAGTTGTATTTCTTAATTCCTCTCACAATAATGTTGTACTGTGAGGTGAGTACAACCATAAGCCTGTAGTATCACATTTTACTATTACATTGTTAATTTGGATTTGGGCTGCACAATATTAGAAAAACATGTCATTTGATATAGCGATTTCAGTTCATTTAAAGGTTTAGTATGTAACTTTACTAACATAAAAAAAATAAAAATAAAACATACTTCAGAAAACTACTTCAAAAATACAGCAAACTGGATTTTTTTGTACTTTTTTAGTGTAGTGTGTGTATTGTAGAGTTAAACAAAACACTATCACATTCTATATTCATAAAGCCCATGGCACACACACTCTGTTCTCTCCATCCCATGCTTGATTTGCCTGTGGAATTGCCAAGGGGCCGGTAACCATCAGCTCACAGCAGGACCAGTGCACTTCAATCTGTGCCCAAATGTGCTCTGTGTGCGGGGGTCCTGTGTGTGTGTGGGGGGGGTCCTGTGTGTGTGTGTGTGCGGGGGGGTGCTGTGTGTGTGTGTGTGTGCGCGTGCGGGGGTCCTGTGTATGTATATGTGCAGGAGTCCTGTGTGTGTGAGGGGGGTCCTGTGTATGTGTGTGTGCATATGTTTATGTGTAGGTGCATGGGGGGTCAAATGTGTGCGTGTGTGCGCATGGGGTCAGGTGTGTGCTTGTGTATGTGTGTGTGGAGGGTCAGGTGTGTGTGTGCGTGTGCGTGGAGTCGTGTGTGTGCGGGGGTCTCACGCACCTCTCTCTCCGCAGCACCAGCAGCAGGTGGCCCAGGCGGTGGAGAGGGCCAAGCAGGTGACCATGACCGAGCTCAATGCGATCATCGGGGTACGTGGACTTCCCAATCTGCCCCTCACTGTGTGTATACCCCCTTCTCTTCTTCATTTGACCCGGGGAGTGGGCCAACCTGCACGCCCAGCGGACCACGGGCCACGAGCCACTGGAGCGAGCTGCATTAACTTTAGTTTAGTGCTCTGTCGACTCTGGATATCTCAACCTGAGTGAGGCCAGAGGGGGCCAGAGGAGTCAGAGGGGGCCAGAGGGGGCCAGAGGGGGCCAGAGGGGGCCAGAGGGGGCTGAAGGAGACATGTTATGCTACAGCTGCTGTTTAAGATTGAACTATTACATACATTGATTAGTTTTTTTTTTTTTCTTTTTTTTGTTCCATCTAAACTACAATATTGACCTAAAATCATCCACCTTTATGATTAGAAACTAGGGATGCACTGATACAGCTTTTTCAGTGCCGATACAAATTCCAATACTGTAGCTTTAAGTATCTGCTGATTCTCGATATTAACCGATACCAGTGCAGAGACTGAACACAGCATTTAGTTCCTTTAAAGAAAAATAAGACAAAACTACTCTGGGCTGTAGCTGTTATTTGTCTGTGAAGTAACCACAGAACAGTTTTGCACAAATAAAAGTCCAAACATTATGACATTTTGTGAGTCTACTATGTCCAGTAAATAGTCTTATTAAATCACTTTATATGTCCAATCCAATATGTGAAACCAGTATCGGATTGGTGCTTCCCTGATAGAAACGGCTCCATTGACTGCTCACTGCTGCCACTGAGGAGACAGATTTTTTTGTTGTTTTTTTTTTCCAGAAAATGTCCATGTGGCATTTTAAAATCCTACATGATCACGAGTACAGAGCAGTGGGTGGAGATAGGGGGTGGGTGAAACAGACATTTTCTGAGCACTCAAACGTCAAACGCAGAAAAATGCAGGATTGCTCAAACATTAATTATTCAACCGAAATATAATTTTGAGCAAGTTAATGAGGGAACATCGTTAGAGTGTGGTTAAAGGGGAACCTGGAGGACTAAAGGGGAGAGTTGGGGGGAGGAGCGGGTTCTCTTGGTATTAAAACAGTGTGATTGGTCTAACAGGTATCCACACTGCAAACTCCACACGGACAAACACACACACGCACAGACACAAAGACACAGACACAGTAGAAAGCTGCACATTTACCTGGTTGGCACACAAATGTCCAAGAAGTTCTCTTTAGTCTTTAGTCCTACTTGAACAGCTCAGCGTGCATAATATGTCTTCATTAGTGTAGGCTGGTCTCTTTTGGCTTGGGTCTGGCAGAATGCCCTCGTCCGCTTCACTGCAGGTTGGCCCCTCCCCAGCGGTTCACGATGTGTTTATTTGAGTTTGAATGTGTGCACTGTCTTCACTGTTAGTTTGTCCTTTGGTTGACTAATCATTTTTTCCATGAGAACTGGAGGCCTGTATCACACACAGCTGTGACCACATCAGCATGTCTCATTTTTCATTTGGGTTAGTGACACAAGTCAGTGTGTGCTGATTAAAAGGCACTTACGGGGCTGGGCACTGTTGACAAAACTGAACATCTGAACATATTTTGGGATTGTCGTGCTGTTCACTGATATAATTGTAATAGTTAAGGTTGAGCCAGGCCTGTGCAGTCAGTCACATTGTCCTCAAGATTCCTCTGAGTAAAAGCATGTGGTTTAGAGCTGACACATGACCAAGATCCAGCTCTTTCTATTCCGATACCGATATTGATACTTAGGCTTTAAATATCTGTCGATACCTGATATTAACCAATACCAGAGACTGAAAACAGCATTTAAACACAAGAATCATAGGTTGAAAAAAAAAATAATAATAAGTAATAAAATAAGGGACAAAATAGTGATTAATATATTTTAATAATTGACCTGTCCTAGATTCAGATGTTGCACCAAATGTGAATGGACTGTAAAACACAGAAGTGAAAAAATAATCCTTTTTGTCCACTTTTTTGTCACTTTCAGATATTTACATTAACGTTTTTAGGTAATAGTTAATATGATCATTTTGCAAATGTCTAAAACGGCTGTGATAATATCCATTTTCATTGATTTGTTCCATTTCAATGCATGAATTTCTGTTATTCGGCAATGACATTAGTCACATAGTGTTACCACTAAATCAGCTGATACTTGAGCTGTATCAGAAGTATAAGAGCACATAGACTAGTATACACTCATGGACCAACATGAACCTACTGGACCACTGAGGGAAGGCCTCAATAGAAAAGAAAGTACTAACATTTAATGTTGAAATTTATATTCTGTTGTCTAAGTAAGGAGTGTTTATTACCGTGGAATCAGAATCAGTATTGAGTATCAAGTCTTTCCGTTAGTATTGAAATTGTCAAAAATTTAGTGTTGTGACAATACTACAAGGCTGTTTAAATCTCTTATGAGTGTTGTGTGTGTGCTTGTGTGTGTGTGTGTGTGTGCTTGTGTGGTGTGTGTGTGTGGCTTGTGAATGCTGCTCCAGAGCTTTTCCACGACAGCGTGCGTTTAAACAGGGCTGATCCTGTATCAGAGGAGTGTGTTTCTCACATTTCACTTTGGCTGCACTTTAATGAGATAAAGCTCCAGGCCAAAGAGGCTTGGCCTGGCGCGGCACAGCCAGATAACAGGCTTTAGAGTGGTCAGCTCAGGACAACACAGGATAGTACGGCACAGACATAGAACAGGATGGCACCGACATAGAACGTGACAGCACATACATGGCTGCACTGGTGGAACTGCACCAAAGCTTCAGGGCCAGTGCCACAGCGGAGCTAAGTGAGACCAGGTGCTCTGGAGCACATATAAAATAGAAAAACACACGCAAAAGAATGGAAATGTACGTATACAGTTATTGCCACAGGCTCAGGAGAAATACAGGAATGAACTTAAGCTAGGTTTGTTTAAATACAAGTCATTATTATTTTGTGCCATTGATACTTTTTGTGACTTCACATGTATGTTACCATGGTGACACAATGGACACATTAGGAAAACTGAACAAAAGTTTTAAGATTTCTCATTTTTTAAGATTTTGCTTTTAAAAAAATTGAAAACTCAACAAAAAAAGGAGGAGTAGGATTTTGATTTGACACATAAAGGTGAGAGTGACTCACTGAAAACCTTTGGCCGGTGCTGCTAACTTGTGACTGTAATGTTATTTGAGAGACGCTTGTTTAACAGCACAGATCAGATCACCTGTTGTCATTTCAATACAGTCAGTTCCTTCTGTTTGGATTGTGTCAGACAAAGCTCAGATTAAACTGAGTAGCAGAGCTTCAGACAGAGCAGAGCCTTCAGTTAGCGTCACACTCCCAGGGTGTGCCGATAACATCGACTACAAAGTATCACTTAGTGGTTTTCAGAGTCTAGAATGTGGTGATGTCATCCTCTCAGACGGGGCCAGAGGCAGATCTTCCATAATGATAACATTGTACTTTGTCATGAAAGATTCAAAAGGAACAGAATTCAAACCTGATCTTTTCTATTACTGACTAGCCCCAAGAAGCCACTGTGTTTTAACAAAAGTCTGTATTTGAACCAGATTCATTTGAGCAGCTGCATCTGTATTAAATATGATTGGCCTAGAATGTTTTGTGATGTCATCTGAAACAGCAAGAGGTGCTTGAGTCTCCAGAGGTTTGGACGTTTTCAGTTTAAACTTGAAGTGAATGGCCAAAATGAAACCTCTCCATATTGTATCTGCGGCGGAGGATGAAGCATTCGACAGAAACAATGTCAAGTGTGAAATTGCAGAATATCCTCCATGTGGCACCTGCTCGTCCCTGCGCTGTTTTCTGATCTGTGTTCTGTTGCTGTTTCCTCATCACAAATAGAGCTGGTAGAGGTGTGTGAAAATACTGAAATATCAATATATCATATCGTTTAATTTGATAATATAGTATCGATATCGTAGGCTGCTGTATCGATATATCACCAAGAGCAATTGTAGGTATATTTTACTAAATTATTTTGTGTAAGAGCTGTGATTGTGTTTACATTTTCACTGGTTTGAGTAAATGGGTGTTTTACATATTAACTTTGCTCAAACTAAGTGGACTTAGTGGACTTTTGGTATCATAGCCATGATTTAGCCTTTTTTTTTTTTTACTGAACTGTATCGAATCAATTTGAAATATATTGTATAAAATCTTATTGAATTGAAAGTGGTCTGTATCAGAAAAATGTATCGTATTGAGGCCTGTGTATCGAGTAGGGATGTAACGATATCCAAATCTCTCGCTACGATATTATCATGATCTGCATCTCACGGTATGATTATTTATTGTGATATTTTTGGAGTGGCAAATAGAATTCTAGATAGGACACTTTTTAGTAGGAATTATTACTGTCAGAATCTCAAAAATTAAAAAACAAAACAAAACATATTTCTTCCTGTTGTCTGTGCTGAAATGAATCATGGGACACGTAGTTCCCGATGTTTATTAGCGGTTCCTACTAAAGAACAATGAATTTAAGCAAAGCAATTTATAATCTGATACATTGTGACAGCTTTCGATTATTGTGAGACTTCTGACGATACGATATCACGATATTTTGGTTGTTGATACATCCCTAGTATCGAGTTATGTATCGTATCAGTAGTTTCTTAATGATCCCCAGCCCTAATACCTGGAGTTATGTTTTGTTTCATTCACACAGGTTTGACACACGGGCAGATTTGGGCTGAGTTCTTCTCCCAAACAAAATACTCTGTTCCACCTTGTGATGTCATGGGGTAATACAAGAAGTGCTGCACTGTATTTTTAAACTCTATACACCTTCACTTCCTTTGCATTATTTTAGTCCTGAGATTGCCACTTTCTACTGAACTAAAGGTAAAAGAAGCTGTTGACTTAAACTACCATTTCATGACATCACAAGGTGGAACAGAGCATTTTGATGATGTAGATGTAGGTAGTCTAATAATGCAGGATTACGCAAACATGCGTGAACGAAACGAAACACATGTCTGCGTATGTTTTTGAGAAGTTAACAACATTATAAC